AAAAGAAAAAAGAAAAGTGTCTTGGTATAGCCAGGTGTGGTGGCACTTGGGAGGCAGAGACAGGCGGATCTCTGTGAGTTCAAGGCCAGCCTGGTCTACATAGTAAGTTCCAGGCCAGCTGGGCCTACAGGGAGACCCTGTCTCCAAAAGACCGACCCAAAAAAGAGAAAAAATCTCATCAAATTGTTATCACATGGAATGTGGTATTTGGGGGTGACCTGTATCTGTTTTCCTGAGTCCTGGTCATCTGTATTTGGCTCCAGAATAAATCATCTCCTGTTGCGCTGTGATGAGAGCTGTGCTTTGCTTCAACACTGACATTATTATTTCTGGCCTGGCTCCTCAGCAGCTGGATGTGCCTGATGCAACTAACAGGAAAAGGCTGTTCTGCTCCCCTCCTGTCTCTGCAGGAAAGGAAGGAAGGCAAAAAAAAAAAAAAAAAAGTGAGGTCTCCAATCACAGTCCAAGGGAAAAGCAGAGCTGTGTCCCCCAGGCCCCAACATGGGCTTCTCACCTGGATTCTTCCCATCCTCCTCCCTCCTCTAGGCACAGGTCAGCAACATCAACACTGGGGTAAGCACAGAAGCAGCCAGAGCAACAGTCAGGCCTGCGGCACCACCAGTCTCCTTAGCTTGACGCTCTGCAGGTGAACGTGACCCATGAGCCTTTCCTGACTCTGCCTTCAGCCAGGTAAAGTGTGTGGAACCCCCATTTCCTCACCAATGTCTGCAGAGACCGTGGTGTTCCGGCTGCAGTGCTGCACGTGGCAGGTGAACCGAGGCTCCTGTCCAGGAAGGACCCAGGTGGACACCCAGGTCTGGTAGGTCCCGTCCCCGCTGGGCAGGATAGCCTCAGGCCCAAAGGTGCGCTGCTGTGTGGGCTCCCCATCACAAAGCCAGGTCAGGATAGCAGTGGGATGACACAGATTAAAAGCCCAGCATGTGAGGGTGATCCTTCCCACTGGGAACTTCCTGTCTGTCACAGTCACCTTTGGAGAGTCTGAGGGAAGACCAGGCAGAGCCAGTGAGGGTGGGGATCCCCAGATCCCTGCATGAGGGTCACTGAGGGCAGAAACTAACCAGCTCTAAGGAACCACCTTGGGCACACTCATCTCTAGCCTCCCCCACCCTGGAGGCCATGTGCGCAGTGGTTATAGGATTGTAGGATGCTGGCACACAGATGCAGTGGCTCCTGACACAACATAGGTATCATCTCATCCATTAAGCCCTCATCCACAAGGAGAGTCTAAGAAGACGTAAAGTCTGCTGTCAGAAGCCAATGTATCCCCCTTCCGGCACATGACGTAGATGAATTAATTATCAGCCACCGATTGGACAGTGGGCTACTCTAGTCCCCAAAGGGCTAGAAATCTGACCTAGGTGGGAGGTACCTCCTGTGACAAAGCCAGTTCCGAGTGCTCTGAGGGACAGTGAGGGACGGTCCCTGAGGTCAGATGATTGACTATGGGCCTGACTTTGTCTCTAGCCTTTACCTTCTTCGTGAGGACGCTATCCTGGTTATCAGTGTCTTCACCCCCACCTCCCTTTCCACCCACAGTTTCCAGGACACTCTTTCCTTTTCTGTCACACTTAGCCAAAAAGCAAGCTTTAAACTTCCCCTTCCAGGGGCCACTCACAGTTATACACAGCTATAATCCCAGCATTCAGGAAATGACAGCAGACAGATCATGAGTTCAGAGCCAGCCGTGGCTACATAGTGAAACAAAACAAAAAAGGAAACAACCTTTCTAGAACTAAAGCAGAGGAGCAGTGGAAGGACCCTGGTCATGTGATACAGGGCGGTTTGCTTTTGCATTTGCAGCCCTGCGCCAAGGCTAAACCCTTCTGTCCTCACCTAGTTTGCTTCCCTCCTGCAGGTGAGCATCACAGAGAATGAGGGTGACAGAGAGAAGCAGCCATGTGTCCGAGATCCATGCCAACATCTGGGAACCCCCCTCTTTTCCCAGCTGAGGGACCCAGCAATGGTTCCGGGGGAGATAGTATATCCTTCCATGTGGTGTCACCTTAGGCTGTACCACCCTTGTATGATCCAGTGAGAACCCATCTCACAGTGGAAGGAGGCACTCAGAGGCACAGAAATGTTTCCCTGGGTGCTGGGGTCCTATGTAGTGAGTTCCCATTCCCTCTGACAGTCGGTACCTGTATCCACCAATTGGTTCCTCAAGGAAGCCAAGTGTCTCAGGAGCTGAGCGGGACATACGTCATGTAAGAAAGTCTTCACTAGATCAGCTCTGGGGCCATGCCTCTCCCACAACATCTTGGTCTCCTGGTTTAAAGGCTCGGCCAGTTTCCATGTGAGGGTCTCCAGGTCAAAGGTGAGGAGGTCCTGTCCATCGTAGCCCAAGTGCCAGAAGCTTCCAGAGTTGTTTCCTTGCAGCTCACAGCCTAATGTGGCCTGGAGGGTGTGGAAGCCTGGCCCATTCCAAGCAGGGAGCCATCACCCTGCTGTCCTAGGTCCTTGGTTCCTACTGGGACTCAAGCCCAGGAGGGCATATCCTTTGATCCCCCCAACTGTGGGTGCCTGTGCCTCTCTGGAAAGCACCACTGCTTTGTTTAAATCTCCTGGCTGTGCCCTGCCCCCACCCTCAGGGATCAGCACTGGACCCACATGCACTTGGCTCTGCCCACTCACCCCTGTCCTGGCCCTTCTGGCCCATGAGCTCTGCCAGCATCCTCCTGAGCTGCTGCTCCTCCTCCTGCAGGTCTTCAGTCTCTCTTGCCCAGGTCTCAGGTTCCACGTGTCCCTTCATCCTGAGCCCCCAGGGCTCTGCCCTCCTGCTGTTCCCATCATAGCGCAGGAAGAGCTCATCATCAAGGTATCCCAGGGCCAGGAACTGGGGCTGCCCAGACCCCTCCTGAGACAAGGCCATGAGGTCATAGTGCAGACTGTGGGGTCCTGAGGGAGGAGACCAGTGACATACCAGGTCATGGTTCTTGGAGACCAATAGTCACCTCTGCCTGAGGAATTGACATGGGACTGGTTCCTTGCGGAGGTGTCTCAGAGGTGGGTATGAAGAGCCAAGTGGAGTGTTTTGTGGTGGGAGGAGAGAGAGAGAAAAGAAGAGGGGGATTCGGGCTAGAAAAGATTAAAGATACGTGGGGGAGCAGAGCAGGCGCGTGTGCATCTAGACAGAAACAGACACAGGAATGACAGGCAGATCCCCAGCTGCACAGACTGAATCTCAATGGAATTGTGACACCTGTGCTGACCCAGCTTCATCCTGACTGAGAAGAGATTGACCCCTGTGTTGAGTGCTGAACACAAGATACCCTGATACACAGAACTACAGAGGCTCAAGTGTGAGTTTTACGTGGAGTTCAGGATACGCTATAAACACTTAGCCACACAGAGGGGTCATAATCAGTGGTTGGTAATCAATGTGGGGACCTAAAAGCCCCACCTTGCATAGGTCCGAAAGGAAGTTACTGGGGGTGCGGCCTGGCTTGCTTTGAAAGTCTGAAGAATACTTCCGCACTGCTGAGGAGTGCATGATCAGTGCGTGACCATCCTTAAGATACACCCTCACGGGGAGGGGGGAGTTCCAGGTGCCTTTATAAGCTTTGGAACACTTGCAATAAATGAGTCCCTGCTTGACTAGGCTCCCCGTTGCGTCTGCATGTCCCCGGGAAGTGGGGTGGCGTGGGCTGGCGAACGGCATGCTTACTCATCCCCAATCCTCACCTCGCCGGGGGTCGCAGGTTCGAACCCCCAGCAAATCAAGAAGGTTATGGAGATGGTTTTCTCCTTCTACCTTTATGTGGGCTCTGGGGATCCACTCAGATGGACAGGCTTGTGCAGCAAGCACTTTACCCATCAAGCCATCTCACAGGCCCAAGAAGTCTGTGACTCAAAATACTTAATCAACTTAAGAAGAGATTTTTTAAATATTTTATTAATTATTTTTATTTTATGTGTATGACTGTATTGCCTGCATGTATGTAAGTGTACTCATGTTGTACAGTGCCCTCAGAGGTCAGAAGAGGGCATCAGAGCCCCTGGAACTGGAGTTATAGACGTTATAAGCTGCCATGTGAGTGCTGGGAACTGAACCTGGCTCCTCTGCAAGAGCAGCTGGTGCTCTAAACCACTGAGCCATCAAAAGTTGAATTTTTGATTTATATCTGTAGGTTTCAGTCCATAGTATTTGTCCCATTGCTTTTGAGTCTGTGGCAAAACAGCATGCTGGGAACACATGGCAGAAAAATGTCTTGAAGATTCTCAAACTAGAATACTAATGTGTAGTAAAACCTCTTTGATAGTCAGGCATGGTTTCCCTGTAGCCTCAGCTGTCCTGGAACTCACTATGTAGAGCAGGCTGGCCTCAAACTCACAGAGATCTACCTGCCTCTGCCTCCCGAGTCTAGGATTAAAGGCGTGCACCACCACGCCCAGCAAGAAATGAAAACTCTTAAGTGGAAGATGGCTGGCAGAGATCTAAGATGAGAGAGGGCCTTAAGACACAGTTTTATCAGAGATACAGAGGCCTCAACGCAACAGGAAAATATTACCAATATAAATCTGTATGCTTCCAATGACATAGCTGTAAAAGAAATCCACAAAAAATCTGCAAAATTTGTAGCATTAAAAGGAAACATTAACCAAACCACTGCCAAAGATATTACTGCATCTTTTGAATAACCACAGGATAAACAGACATAAAATCCATATGAGACAGCAATTGGAAGCCCAGAGTTAAGTTTGCAGAGTTGATCTGGACAGAACAGAGGCTGTGCACACTTTCCCTGTACACAGGGACATTTGCAAGTCAGTTACAACTGAGGAACCATTAATGACAGTCCCGAAGAGGTATTGAACAGGTAGGTGACTACGGTCCCTCGGGCAGTAAGACCCGCCCCCTTCATGATATCACCATGGTGGAGCCACCTCAATGCACATTTTTCTAAGCCTTTCTAGAATATACCACAACTAGGGTGTTGCACACCCAGAGACACCAGGAATTCCTCCAAAGCCCTGGGCCTCTGGTTTCTCCTGTGGAAGCATGAGCGATTTCCTCCCATTGTTGAGAGCTCTGGATTTGGTGAGCAGACAGTGCCCATTCCAAACTGGAAGACGACGGAACCACCCAGCTGCTTACTACAGAGTGAGCTTAAGGATGGCTGGCAGAGATCAATATTTCAACAGAAAAATTATCTTATGAAAACTGACATTAAAAGATAAAGAAAATGTCAACAAGTCCCTTAGGTAATTAAGAAATTGGTGCACAGCTGGATTCTAATGTTTAGAATCCCAACATTTAAGAGGCTAAGGCAGGAGGTTAGCCCAGTTTCAAGGCATCCTGAGCTATATAGTGGGGACACTGTCAAAAACAAGCAACCAGGGCTTAAGGAGAGAGCTCAATGGATTAGAGCATTTGCTGTACAAGCATGAAGACCTGAGTTCGAATCTCCAGCACCCCCTTAAAAAGCTGAGTATGGCCATACATGTGTAATGACTAGAGCAACTCCATTTTGTACAAAGCCACCTTAGACTTTAAAAATCAGAGAAGTAGCCAGCTCTGAAGTTGGTCCCAGTAAGTCACTCCCCCCAGAAGTTTGTTTTCCTTTTAGAAATAGCTGACCACAGAAAGGAATGTTTCTTGACCACCCAAGGGGAAAATAACCTAAACAATATCTTGTCTTTCTTGGTAATATACTGAAATAATAAAATCAGAAAGCCACTTACTGTGAAGGTCTCTATACAGCTGTTGAGAAAATGACTAAAAATTTGTTTTGGCTTCTGTAAACATGTTTACTGCTGCACTTAAGGGTCAGTGTGATCCCACTGTCCTTGCAACTGCCAATACCACAGGAATGACTCAGCTTATGGTTTCTGACTTTAAAAGGCCTTTCCCAGTCCCCACAGCTGCAAGGCAGTTACCCTTATCTGGCCTCTGGAGACTGTCAGGCAGCCACAGCTCTAATAAAGATTTGGCTAATTAAAATCTGAATTGGGTCTGGTGGTCTTTTCCTGGTGGTCTAGAACTCCGTAACTATGCCTGGAACCCTAGCATTAAGGGGCAGAGACAAAATCCCAAGAGCTTACCAAACTGCAAGTTTAGGGTTCCTTGAGAGGCCCTGTCTCAACTCTGCTCTTGCACACACCCAGACACCCAGGTGCATGCATTCACCATACACACCACACACACACACACACACCAAATTTTTTAAAAAATCTAAACAAGCTGGGTGTGGTGGCATATGCCTTTAATCCCAGCAGTTGGGAGGCAAAGGCAAGAGGATCTCTGTGAGTTCAAGGCCAGCCTGATCTACATAGTGAGTTCCAGGACAGCTGAGGCTATAAGGAGACCCTGTCTCAAAAAGAAAAAAAAATCCAAACTACCAACCAATAAACAAAGAGAAGAAGGAAAAACATAAATCATATGTGTATATTTACATACTTAAATGCAAACACAGAGAAAGACCACTAAGAAAACTCCAGGCCCAGGGTTCACATGTTTCTGGGCTAGGTTGGTGAATTCTTCCAAATACTAAATGAACAATTTTATAAAAGTACCAGAAAACAGGCCACAGAGGGCGGAGCACCTCAACAGTATAACTTAAATCCATTCCTTGACGCCATCTGCCAGCTTTCCCCAGCCAATACCTGCCCAGACCCTTCCCTTCAGCACCCCTCCCCAACACACTGCCCCTTCTCTTGGTCCCCACACCCCATGCACCCCTTCCCCGCTTCACCTCCATGGTGGGCCAGGCACTGCCTCTACTTTCCTCACTCACTGCCCAGTTTTATCACAGGGCCCCTCCCACTTTTCCTGCCCTGCCGCGTCCAGCCACTGTCCCCTGCAACATCCAGACTTCTCTGCCCTTCCCCCCTACCCCCCTCACCCTCACTCCCCGACACCAAGCTCTTTCAGACTCACAGGCCACTGCACCCGGCTACGCAGGGACCCTAGGAGGTCTGTCTTCAGTGCTCACCCATGAGGCAGGATCCCCAGGAATCCTCCAGAAGCAGCAGCAAGGCCAACAGTTCGCCGACCAGTCTGAGATCCCCAGAATTTCCATCAGTCACTTTCATTTTGTTTGGAGATTCAAACCTGAATTCTTCCCTTATTTAGCGAGCATCTTTGTGTCGCGGCTAGCTCCATCTACAAATATGCAGGGATCTCCAAAACAAGGCGGTTGGGGTGGAGACTGAATAGTGGGTGGCGCCCTGGGCTGGAGCTAGTGCTGCTCTAAGAACTTTTTGGAGTTCCTGCCCTGCTCCTTATTAAATGTATGAAATAATTTCCTTACAGATCTGGCTGTTGCAGTGAGGGGACAGAGACAGTGCCACACTGCCACCCTCCCTAGCCTGAGTAGCAGGTTCTTTTAAGCTTTTCGGAGACCTCAGACTCCGGGCTTTGATGCTGAAAAGAATTTCAGGAGCAACCAGGCAGTTTTGAAGCACAGTTGGAGATTATTATTCTGGATTATTCTGGATTTTTGTTGTTGTTCTTTTTGAGACAGGGTCTCTCTGTAGGCCCAGCTGTCCTGGAACTCATTATGTAGACCAGGCTGGCCTTGAACTCACAGAGCTCCTCCTGCCTCTGCCTCCTGAGTGCTGGAATTAAAGGCGTGCGCCACCATGCCCAGCTATTCTGGATATTTTAATATAGGCTTAAGCATAAAGGTTTGGAGAAAGAAGGGCTCAGAAGACAGTAAGGATACCCAGGAGCTTGGTATGGGCTTCTAAAAAAAAGTCACAGAAAGTGAGACACAGGCAGTGTGGTGGACATCAGCTTCTCAAGGAGAGTCGAGATGAACTGTCTTAGCATCAGCTGGATACACCATTCTGAAAAGGTGCCTGAGGCCTTTTCCTCCTTGTCTGTCTTTTAATAACTGAGATTATAGGGTGGCTCTGGAAATGCCATGGGTAGAATTATAATCTGATGAGGAGAAACCAGGAGCCACTAGGGTTGCACAATGGTTAGGGATGTGTCCTTTCCCTGTAAATGGAGTTTCTGGTGGGATGTCTAGAAATTGCAGATTTATGACTGGGAATGGAGAACCCCCTCCCCTGCCCCTTAAGCAGTTGTTAATATGCTGGGGTTCTTAAGTCTCTGTGAGAAGAGGCTTCAAGCAGATTTCTGGTAAGGGGCTCCTTTCCCCTTCTCATGTCCCGAGATTTTCCTTGCCTTTGTTTCTAGATTCCCCCCTAACACACAAACACACACACACACACACACCATACCAAGGATTGAATTTATGACCTCATACATTCTGATCAGTCGCTCTACCTCTCAGCTACATCCCCCAGCAATCCTGTCTTTCTACCCTGCCTTAATTTAGGATTTCATCCTCTTCCTGTTTTGGACAAGAATTTGGAATACTTATAAACCCTCCACCCACTGCTTAGGCTCTGTGTCCTCACGAAGCCTGGAGCTCTGAGGAATCAGAGGAAATCACCCACACAGCTGGAGGAGGAAGCTGAGGTCCAGGGTGTTTGGAAATTCCTGGTGTCTCAGCCAGAGGAGATATAGACCCAGCCATGCTGGTGGACACCAGGCTGGGGACAGTCGTGCGCCATGAGGCTTCCTCAGGCCACCTAAATAAAAAAGGCCTAAACCTAAACAAAGTCCTTAAAAAAGGCCTAAACCTAAACAAAAAGTCCTAAACCTAAACAAAACCATGATAAATTTAGGGAAATGCCCATAATCGTTAAGGAGCAAATATTTAAAAGTAACAAGAGGATAAAAAAGCATTGCAGAACCACAAAGTTAATTCTAATCTTTGTTGCATTATTTGGATACTGGCTTCAAAACAAATAGTAAAAATCACAGCAATTCAAATAGCCTTTTGCCAGGCATGGTGGTACATGCCTTTAATCCCAGCACTCAGGAGGCAGAGGCAGGTGGATCTCTGTGAGTTCAAGGCCAGCCTGGTCTACATAGTTCCAGGACAGCTGGGGCTACAGGGAGACCCTGTCTCAAAAAGACCAAAAAAATAAAAGAAAATAACCTTTCAGGGCTAAAGAGATGGCTCAGAAATTAGGAGTGCTTGCTGCTCTTGCAGAGGACCAGAATTCAATTCCAGCACCCACATCAGCTGACCCACAATCACCTATAACTTCAATTGCAGGGTATTCTATACCCTCTTCTGGTCTTTGAGGGCACCTCATCCATGTGGTGCACATAAATTTACACGGGCATGCATGTATATACATAAATAAATAAATGTAACAAAAATAAATTAAATAACCTTTCAGAATTTAATATTTCTCAAGACTTCAGTCTGCAACCAGCTCCTGGGGCTCTAAAGAAAAATTCTTATTTGACCAATACTACTCAAATGGAGAGAGGATTTGAGAGAATGAGAAATATAAATTTGCTTTGTCCTTGTTGCACAAGCAGTCTGGATTTATAGGAGATCTTGCCTGGATACAGGAATACAAAAGCAGCTTTACTCTGTGACAGCACAAATTCAATGAGAGTGGATTCCCTAAATCCAGCCAGATGCCATGACCACATTCAAGAGGGCTCTGCCACATGCCCTCACTTCCCCTAGGACCTGCTCTCAACCTTTTCCAGCTCTGATTCACATAGCATCAAGGAATTAAGATCTCACCACATCAGTGCTTGGGGGACACACGCAAACTGTGACAATGTTTACAAACCTCAGCAAGACTGTTAACTGGTATGAGATTCTGGGTGACCTGAAAATCCATACAGCCTAAAATGATCTATGTTAGAGTCCAAGTCTGCAGCGACCCTCCCCCAGTGCAGTAAAGCTCCACAAGACAGCCCCCCCGGGGGGGCTGTCAAAAACAGGAATTGATTGAGCATAGTCTATAGTCTGTCTCCCCCAGATAAATTTAGAGACATGAGAGGGGGCTTCCCATGGTCACCCAGAGATGAAAGGGAGGGGCCCAGCAGAGACTGCACTATGGAGTCACAGCCACACTCTGTCTCTGCCCCCCTCCTCTCCCACCCTCAATTGGAATAGGAGCTTCACCTGGGCACAGACCCTGAAGATAGGGGAATGTGCAGATGGGCTTCATGCCTGGGACCTGGCACCTCATGACCCTCTGATTCTGAAAGGCCCGGGTCTCCAGGCAGTGCTGAAGCAGACCCAGAAGATTCAGCTGGGTCCAAGGAGCTGTATGCCATTCATTGGCTGGTTGGTGTCATGGTCACATGCTGGGGGTTCAAACCAGCGACCCCCAAGTAGTGATGACTAGGGATGAGTAAGCATGCCGTCCGCCAGCCCACCCCGCCCCCAGTACCGGGGACACTCAGACACAATGGGGAGTCCAGTCAAGCAGGGACTCATTTATTACAGGTATTACAGAGCTTATAAAGTCACCTGGACCTCCCCCCCCCCGAGGATGTATCTTAAGGATGGTCAAGCACTGATCATGCACTCCTCAGCAGTGCGGGAATATTCTTCAGACTTTCAAAGCAAGTCAGGCCACACCCCCAGTAACTTCCTTTCGGACCTATGCAAGGTGGGCCCTTTAGGGCCCCACATATCCCCCTTTTTATTTTTATTTTAAGGCCGGACTTACTTTATTTCATGGGTTCCCCACCTCATAGGCAGCTCCCTGAGGAGAGACGGCTATCTCCTTCCTCTAATCTTATGCATTTTTTCCTGTCTTAGGTTGTGTCACCTCTGACCAAGCCTTGCCCATCATTGGATCATGCACCTGGCCATGTGTATGTCCTGTCTTAGGAGTTCTTGTCATGGGACATCTTACCCATCCTTGGCTAAAAATCCATCATGATTAAGGGCAGCCGCGAGGGTAATGCAGCCCATGACAGTCTTAGTCTCTGCCTAACTCGGTTAGCCAAGCATGGGCAACTGGAGGGGGTCCTGGGGGAGTCTGTAATCATGAGGAAGTGGGCCATGGCAGTTCCAAGGGTCCTCTGTCATTGAATTATCTGGTAAAGACACTTAAAGATAAGCATTATCAAGAGAAACAAAGCAAGTCATGGCGTAGGACAAGTTGAAATACTTCTGAGACCATGTTCCTTTTAGCCAATCAGCCAGTTGTCAAAGAGGCTGACTGGCAATGAAGCCAAGGAACTGAGTCCTTCACCTCAGATGGATATAAATAAAGAGAGGAATTTTGGCTCATGAACTATTGTCCATGGACCGTCATCCTAGTCAGTCAGATCGGGCCTACCCACTTAAGGTTTTTCGCAGGCACCCATATGGGGTTTGAATCTCCTGTAGGTCTACACACACCTAAAGCCTGCAATAGATCTGGTCCTTTCCATTGCCCCGTAATGGGGTCCTTCCATCTTACCCGTACCTCAGGTCTCTGCTCCTGTCATCCCCAATGCTTCTGAAACCAGGATTCCAACTGATTTTTTTGAAAATTAAGAACATTAATAGTGAATAAGGCCATACCCAACTGTTGGTGGGGGCTTATTCCCCC